ACTTCAGTAGGGCAATGCAAAAACTGACTCAATTGTTGCGTGGCAAGAGTTATGTCAGGCCTTGTATTGTTCAAATACAACAATCTCCCAATCAATCTTCTGTATGCAGTAATGTCACAAAAAGGTTTACTGTTGTCTTGATGCAGTTTTATTGAAGTATTGAGAGGAGTATCAACTGGTTTAGAGGCTAGCAATCCTGTATCGGTTAGCAAATCCAGGAAATATTTCCTTTGGAATATTGTGATCCCTTCCTTGGAGTGATCCACCTCAAGCCTTCCTTTAAGTGAGCCACCTCAAGCCCAAGGAAATATTTCAAAGACCCTAAGTCCTTGATTTTGAAGGCAGTATGTAAAATATGCTTGATGTGCTCAAACTTAGCAAGTGAAGTACCTGCTAGAATAACATCATCAACATATATCAAAAGGATTGTGATGTGCCTATTTCTAACCAAGGTAAACATGGAATAATCAGAATTTGATTGGCTATACCCAAGGCTCAACAACAGGGATGTAAGTTTTTCATACCACTTTCTGCTTGCTTGTTTAAGTCCATACAAACTTTTGATAAGTGTACACACTTGATTGGGCTTGTTACAAGTGATGCCTTGTGGGACACTCATGTAGACATCTTCCTCTAAGTCACCATGCAAGAATGCATTATTAACATCAAGTTGATGCAAATGCCAATTCTTGATGGCTGCAACTGCAAGAAGAACTCTGACAGTGGATAATTTTGCTACAAGTGAGAATGTATCAAAGAAATCCAGGCCTTCTACTTGACTGTATCCTTTTGAAACAAGCCTTGATTTGTATCTTTCAATGGTGCCATCAGCCTTATGTTTGATCTTATATACCGACCTGCTCCCAATGGGTTTGATATGAGGTGGAAGATCAATCAATTTTCAGGTGCCATTGACAGTTAAGGCTTCTAATTCATGCTTCATGGCATTCACCCAGTTCTGATCTGTGCAAGCTTCCTCATATGTACTTGGCTCATGGTCAAGTGTAACAGATAAAGAGAAAGCTTTATGACTAGGAGACAAAGACTTGAATGAATGAAAATTAGAATTGGGATAAGGAATACCTGAAGATGCTGGTAGGGCCTGACTGCTCGAAGAGTTACACACATAATCCTTTAGATAAGCATGTGAGTGTCTGTGTCTTTTAATGGTGGTGGAACTGTCTGGATGAGAAGAATCAGGTTGTAATAGAGGGTTAGGATTGTGGCTGATATCAGGTTCATGGTTAATAGGTAAGGGTATTGAGGTTGTGTCAGAACTGCTTGGCTGGGATTGATGGTTAGAGTAATATTTCCAGTTTGGGTTAAAAGGGAATATATGTTCATGGTGAGTTATATTTCTGGAAATAAAAATGTCATGGTTTTGAATGTCTGATAAGACAGCTCCTTTGGTTCCTTGCTTGTACCCTAGGAATATACATTTCCTACCTCGAGGGTCAAGCTTAGTTCTATGAGATTGTAAAGTAGAAACATACACTAAGGAGCCAAAAACTCTTAATTCATGAAGATCAGGTTTAGTCTTAAACATCAAGAAATATGGGATTTGTTGTTTATAACAGGGCTGGGAATTCTGTTTATGAGAAATACTGCATGAATTACAGCATATGACCAAAAGTTTTTAGGTATGTTGGCTTGAAATAGAAGGGCTCGAGCAATGTTAAGTATATGTTGATGTTTTCTCTCCACTCTCCCATTTTGTTGGGGTGACTCAACATAACTTGTTTGGTGAGAGATGCCTTTTGAGGCATAAAATTGAGGCATGGAAAATTCTGGACCATTGTCACTCCTAAGGGTTTTGAGTTTGGTATTATGTTGTGTCTCAATCATATTAATAAAATTCACAACATTTTGTCTGGTTTCAGATTTTGATCTCATTAAAATAATCCAGGTGTATCTGCTAAAATCATCTGCAACAGTTAGAAAATATGAGTGGTCTTGATTTGATTTGATAGCAATAGGGCCCCAAATATCAAAATGAGCTATTTCAAAAGGAACAGAGGATTTATTAAAGCTGGACTGATAGGAATTTCTCTTATGTTTGGCAAAATGGCATACATCACATGCAGAATTTTTATCTACAACAATAAAGGGAAAAATGCAATGAAGAGACTGCATTCTATTACATGAAAGGCGCCCTAGTCTAAAATGCCAAAGGGCACTATCAGGTAACTGACATGTTGACATGTTGTTGGTTGTAGGAACACCACTATGCTTATTTTTGAGAATCAAGAGGTACAGTCCTTCAGAGCTATCAGCCAAACCAATCATCTGCAGAGTTGTAGGATCCTGGATTAAACATTTATCAAGAGTGAAAGTGACTTTATATCTAGATTGTTTACATAATTGAGAGAATGAGATAAGATTAATAGAAAAATCAGCTATATGTAAGACATTGTCAATGATAAAATCAGAGGAAAACATGACTGAACCAACATGTTTAGCTAGAGCAATATGACCATTAGGAAGTTTCACACTAATAGGGGAAATATACCTATATGACTGGAACCATGAAATGGAGGAGCATATATGATCACTTTCTCCAGAATCAATAATCCAAGTATTTAAGGAAGAACACTTATAAGCAAAAATATGAGTTGTGGTACTTTGAGTAAGGTTTCTTGGATCCTACTGCATTGAGAAGGTCCTGAGAGTCTTCGGTAGGAGCAAAATTGCCTTGTCGCTCATGTTGAAGTACCATAGAAAAGATTTGATTCATGCTGGGAAGAGGATCCATCAGTAAAATTTGAGATCTAACAACAGCAAAATTTTCATTTAACCCAGTAAGAAAACGAATAGCATGGAGTAAAGTGTGATTTTTACGAGCTTGCCTCATTACTTCACATGAACACCGTATTCTGCAACTGCAATTAGGCATAGGCATATAAATTTCAAGCTCCTCCCAAAGAACCTTCAAAGTAGAATAAAATTCTGTAACATACATAGAATCTTGCTTTATGATATACACTTCTTGTTGCAATTCTGAAATTCTAACAAGATCTCCTTGTGCAAATCTTTCCTTTAGATCGACCCAAGCATCAACAACATTCTCAAGAAAAACGATAAATTGTGCTATAGAATCAGAAACAGAATTAACGATCCAAGAATGGATTAACATATTGCACATGGTCCAAGCACGATAAGAGGGATCAAAATCATCAGCAGGAACTGGTATGGTTCCATTCACGAAATCAAGCTTCAACTTCCCTCCTAAAGCTCTGCGCATAGCTCTGGCCCATGAATGGTAGTTTGGACCTTCAAGAACCGGTGTAACTTTGACAGAAGAAGGTCCATCACTGGGATGAACGTAGTACGGACTGTTAACATCAGCTTGCGGATCTAAGCGTGGAGGTATGATGCAGAAAGTTGAACCAAGAAACAAATAGAAGGAGAAACGATCAAAGAAGATGAGAGAAAAAAGATAGATCGATGAAGGCTTGTGATACGATGTTAAAAGATCTTAACATACTTCATGTATGAACCAATAATCTCCATTGATGAAGCTTTGCATAACAAACAAAAAATGAAAACAGAGAATAGAAAAAAGATGGAGAGAGAAGAATGTGAAGCTCTTTTCTATTTCTGTATTTGTGAAAGCTTAACCAAAATACACAGAAGAAATGCTATATATACAATAGGTAGTTGTAACTACCTAACAAACTATAACCACTAACTTCTCATCCACAAACTAATTGGATTACTAAACATAACTAATCCTAATTAATAAGGAAAAACAAAGAGCTGAATTTTAACAAGCCTCCAGATTTCTTTTTAGAAGGACTCTTGATCAAAACCCATTTATTTAAAGTTTAAGTTCTCTGGTCATTTTTTTAACTTCATTCAATCTAATGGACTAATGGGAGAGATTGGTAAGGTGGATAACAGGGACCTGATGTGAGAACTCAATTGAAGAATATCTTTTTTTTTTTTAGAATTATTTGTGCATGAAAATCTTTTCTCGATACTTTGAAATGTTATTTTCTATCAAGAAAGTATTCATATCATCAACAAATCAGAACTACCATAAAAATCACAAAATCTTCTCTCTATACTCTGAAATACTGTTATGTTTGGTTTATTGCTCCCTTGTTTGGAGGCTTATTTCATGTTCGATTTTTCTTTGAGCATTGCTATGTTTACACCCAATTATTACACCCGTATGCAAATTACACCGTACCTATATAATTGTTTTTACAGCATTGCTATGTTGACACCCATTTCTACACCTTACACCTCAATTACTGTTCACAAATACTTGAACAAATTTCCCAGAACATGGTTAATAGTGTGTATTTTATTGGTTAATGAAGTAGTGAAAGTGGTTAATAAATTATAGGTAAAATAATTGGCTAATAATGTAGATTTTTGTGGTTAATGCAACTGTGAAGTTGGTTAATGCGCAATCTTATATTTGTGTTATAAAATAAATTTTAAAAATAAATATTTTTTTTTAAAAAAAATAATATTTTAAAATAATATATTATTTTAATAAAAAAACACTGTTCACCGTATAAATACGGTGAATAGTGCATACGGTGTAAGTATTGGGTGTAAAAAAGGGTGTAGAAATAGCATTTTTCTTGTTTTTATGTTGCACATATACCAAAGCAAGATAATAAATTATTAAAATAAGAATGAGCATGTATTTAGTGTATATAATACGGTGTGGGTGTATAACTTAGTGTCATAGTGTCATAGGATCATTTCTCTTTTTCTTTATATTCTCAATAATTGTGTAGGCACTTTTGAGGTATTAAGATTATTTACATTTTGTGGTTTTAATCTTTCTTATTAATATATTATTTTGTCTTTGAAAAAAATCGTCTATGATTTGATGCTTGAATACTTAATTTGTTTTTTTGTCAATGTTTTTATTTAATTTGATGCTTTAATTCTTCAAAAGTTTGAATTGATAAGGTAAGGAAATATAAACATGTTTTTCTGTTCAAATTAGAGAAACAAAAGACGGTGTAATGTCAATAAAATTAAAACATTACCTGATTTAAATCATAATGACCAGTTTCACTTGTTTGTGAATGTCCTTTACTGTATAAAGGCTGAAATTCTTGAGTGATATTCTTCAATCTGAATAGATATTAAATAATGTATAAGAGTTAATTGATTATCTATCTTGTTTTGTATTCATTTCTAATTAAATTACCTTTGGGGTGAAGAAGTGAAGCAATGATTGCATTGTGAATTTTCTTCAAGTATCGTCTTTCCCTTCACGTTCCTGTACATCTAAAAACCAACCACCATGCAAATACAAATTTAGCATGACACCAATTATGAGTGTAGCACATATTTTTACCAAAAGAAGAATGTAACACATGTGCGTAATCATGGTGAACATTAATTATTATTAGAGCCTTTAAAATGAAAAAAAAGTGTCGGGTAGAATCGATTTTCAAGTATATATAAAAGTAATAAAAATAGTAATTCTCTTTCTCTTTCTCTAAAGCTTACACAGCCGTGTGCTTTTCTATCTCAAAAAGTAACATAAAACACGTTTGGTTTTATGGATCCTGATGACACAAGAAAAAGGAATTTCATCTCTCTATGTTTTGCTTTTTCTTGAAAAATCACATTATATATAATGCCCATATACCTAACCTAGATCCTAATTAAATTTTTTTGTCTAGTAACTTAATAATCTTAATGATCAGATGAACAAATCAGATGATCGGGTTTGTATCTGGAAAGCATTGTCTCAATTTTTTTGGAGGTATGTGTAGACTAGTGTAAAAAAAAAAAATTTAATATTTTATTTGTTTTGCGCGTTCTCAAGGACGATTCTAATTATTACGATGTTTTTACACAACTTAGATAAGTTCTGTGTGCTTAAAATACATTTTAAATAAATGAGATATTATTTTCTTTCCATAATGTGATAGAGCTTATCAAGTAACAAGGTAGAGAAGTCGGGTTGATAATGGCACAACGGGTATGACTCTCGAAGAAATTTTGTCATAAAAAATGAAAAGTAAAAGGAAGATAATCATCCATGAGTGTGAGATATACATGGGAATTGTGAAAAGTTCAAAAATCATTGTTTCCACATACTTTCATACTTTTTACTATTGCTTTTTTTTGTTTGAGCAGTAAAATTTATACGTAGCTACTGAAAAAATAACCTAAACTGGATTTTGTTTCTTCAGTCCCATGATTTCATTATCAAAAGAAAGAGAATTTTCCACAAGAGAATAGAATATATAGAGGACTAAACTAGAAACATGGCCTATGTATACATATCAGGAAAAAAAAAGTTATAATTTCCAAAATCTGGTGTCACTAAATATTTACTAGAGACAAAGACGTCTCAAATATTTAAAGGCTATGTGAAACTAAATCATAGTTTAGAGGCTCTCTCATATACTCAATTTATTATTTTATAAGTAAATTTTGACTTTTTTGATTAATTGAATAAATGATGTATTTGGGCAATATATAAAGTGGAGACATTAATTATTTAATGAATTTAAAAAGTTAAAATTTGCTTATAAAAAAAATGGAAGATGTATTTTATAAGACAGTAATAGTCTGTCTTGCATGTTTTCAAAAAGACAATTTTTGTGAGAGAATGAAACATGGTGATCCAGATTTAAATTTAGAATTCTAGATAAAACAATCTTACAGACAAATTACTAGGTAGTAACGTATGTGTGGTAATGAAATATTCTCAGAGAAGGTTGAATATGAATTCTACTATATATGTATAATATGTACCTGAAGATGGCTTTTAATGTGAGAGATTTTGAGTCCCTTCACTTGCATCATATTCAAAATATGTTTCGGACTTGCCTCTACAAAATCAGTTAATATGTAAGAATTATCAGAAGTTGTTGTAGAATAACAAGTAATCTCTTGAATATTTTTTATTTGCCCTATGATTTGATGAAGGAAAAGTATACTTACTCTGTTTCCCACCGAGACTTTCAACAGTTTGAACAAAGTATTGATGAAGTTCAGGTGTCCATCGAAGGCGTGGCTGTTCTAATTTTTGATACTTTCTCACACCACTTCTCTTTGAAATATTATTCTTCATTTTCTCAAACTTCAACTTTTTGAAGTTTTTATGAGATGTGATGATGCAGCAGCAGTTAGTGAAACTTATATTGAAGACTATATATAGAGATAAGATATTGGTTTTGTGTAGTGTATATATGATAAAGTATATAGACAAATAAATGCAGCAGCAATCATAGAATGTTTTAAGGTCAATGACTTTTTATTTCAGAAAACTCAAATTATTGTTGAAAACATATACGTTTCATATATTCTTTTTATATTTTGTCTTATTCTTTTATTTCGTATAAAGTTTAATATCTCTTTGTGTTGGCTGTTTGAACATTCTATGTGTTAATTTCTACCTTTTACAAAAATGAACAGTGCTTTGAAAATAACATATGTCCAAGAACAATTATGTCTTTTATATACTACTATATAAGTTTGAAGTGTTTTTTTCTTCTTCTATATAAGAAATACTTCTCTTCTCCTTATTATAAAAGAAAAAAATATACTTAAACAAGCTCACATCCCACGTGCTTGAGAGCTAAAATCTCCCTAAAAACTTAAAAATTTCTACCTTTTTTATTATAAACAAACGAGATTTCATTAAAAGCGAGAAAAGGATCCTCAATGCAAATACAACACAAAAACAACAATCGACAAATTTATAAGTTTACAAGTTTAACTTTAACAAGTTAAAGTAGTGCCAGGTCAAACATTGAAATCGATATATATAGGTTTGTTGCCTCTCACACCCAACCTTCCTACGCCTAGATTTTAGTTAGGGACAAAATTTCCTTAGCTCCTTTATAACCTCCTTTAAAGAGAATATCATGCATTGCTAGTCAAATTGACCAAGTAGTTAAGAGCTATAACAAAAGTCGCAATTTCTTCTTAGTCTTTCCTTTCATTAGAGCTCCAAAAGCCAACAAATGCTCCTTTATCGTATCACATGAGGGCAGCCTATACAGGATCATAACTAGTCAACAATGAACTGCCAAGCACTTGAAGCGAAGAGGCAAAAAAGAAAGAAATGCAGGCAAGATTCCTCAAGTCCAAAACAAATAAGACGAACAAGATTATGCGAACCCCTCAACACCCCCTCATTTTGCAAGTTCGTCCTTACTTTAGAGCCTATTCAAAAGAAATCTCCATGCAAATACTTGAATGTTATTGGGCACATTGGTGTTCCACAATAACTAAAAAGCATTTACTTTGTCCACATCCAAATAAGAACCCGAAAAATGACAATATCTACCAATCTAACATATGCATATTTAACAGAACAATCAGAATGAGGGAGCAAGAGAAGCTTCTGATGCGTTTCGCGCTTTAGAAAAATTTCAGAGGAACAACCTGTCGCAACTGCGAAAAACACCCGGCGGAAGACATAAGAGTCGTCACCTTTCGTTATTTATCCCAAAGAGAGGGAAAGGAAACGATCGGAAAAACCTGACGAAAAAGGAAAGACAAGGTCATCGCAACCAAGTCTGGATTCGGGAGTCGGTTACGCAAGGGGAAGGTATTAGCACCCCTCACGTCCGTCGTACTCGACGGGATCCACGCTTTGTTGTCTATCTAAAAGGGTGATCAATCTATCTACGCTAAAGGTCAAGGGACAAAAGAAAAAGAAAAGAGAAGTGACTCGGCAGAGCATCGCCGCTCCGTGCCTACGTACTCCCTCGTGCAATGGGAAAGTCAGAGTCAACGTAGTTCGGCTAACTATGGGTGAAGGGGGGAAGGTTGCTCGCCAAGACATCGCGTCTTGTGCCTACGTATTTTCATCTGGTATGAAATATCAGAGCAAACGTAGTTCGGGCTAAAAAGAACACCGGTTTGGTTCAAAAGTTTTTTAGGCCCGAGTAGGGTTAACAATCAGTTCTAGCAGTTGGTGTATGCAGCTCGACCATTGGAGATTTAGGCGTTACCGTCTGCGGTAGAACTAAAAGTTAACAACACTTTTTTTATCTGAAAAGATTTCCTGATTAAGATCCCGAAGGATAAAAAAGGTTTGAAGTGTTTTTGTGATTTTTAGAGAAGACGTGTTTTGAGTTTGATTTGTAACTCATGTCGCACTAGAGACTATGACCTAAGAGCGAATGCATCGTATATCACCCAAAGGGTGTACACTAAACACTCTAGGTCATTGATAGGAAGCCCCCCAATCACCATTTCTCAAGTAGCTTAAGGCTCGTAGCGTACAACACTTTTCATTCTTTATTAAGTGTTTTATGAATGTTTGAAGATGAGAAGAGAAGAAAGAGCCACTAATGGGAGACTAATCAATCCTAAAAGTTGTCATGCAAAGCGGACTTAAAATTGGGATACAAAAGGGAACTACCTAATATTATCATGCATGGTTAAGAACCTAATGTCTATCATAACCTCAAGAGGTTAGAGAACTTATGGGGAGCATGGCAAAGAAAAGCAAAAGAAAAAGAAGAAGAAAGAACATGCAAATGAAAATGCAAACATAAGATGCACAAGTAGAATGAAAGTGGGAGGAAAGTAGTGTGGGGCAGTAGCCTCCACAATCTCATCTCAACCAAGCATGCATATGGAAATGCAAGAAAAGAAGAGAAAAACAAGTGCACAAGAAGAAGTCAAACAAACAAGAACAAACCACACAAAAATGCACCAAAAGTGGGATGAAATGACCTAAGTCAAACAACATCAATCACACCACCAAAACTAAACCAAATGAAAAGGAAAAGGAGCTCAACATAAAAGTGAGGATGGGAGGATATATGAGGGCAGCAAGGACCTCATACCATGCACTCAACCATAAGCATCACAAGAAGATGCAAAAGAAAGCACAAATGGGTCCTCATGGATTCATCATTTTAGGTATGCTTCAAATACCTCCAAAGGAGGGACCAAGCCACCTTAAGTGATATTCCAAGATCATTGGACAGAAGTTAAAGATGGAGAATAAAGTTCAAAAGCAAAAGAAAATCACATCAAAAGGAAATGCAAGCAAGAGCACAAAGGAATGCAAGCATACTTCACATTGAAACCCTAATTGAAAGCATCAAAAGGAACACACAAATGAACAAGGAAGAAACAATGTCATGACCTAAAATTGAGCAAACACCATCCTTAACATGTTAGTAACATGAAACAAAAGGCATTAAGAGCTCAAAGGATCCAAAAATGTCATATCCAAGTCAAACTAGGTCAAGATGCATATATGAACCTCCCTTGGAGGTAACTTGACTTGCAAGTTACCTCAAAATTAGGAAAATGATTCAAAAATGGCCAAAGAAAATTCACAAGGTACTTATACATGTTGGCAAATAGAGGCCAATAAACCACAATCAAAATCAATTCACAACACCACCAAAGAAATTGATTCACAAGGGTGTTCCATTGTGAATGAGGATTGTCGAGGGTCAAATGAAATGCATCAAAAGTCAACTAAAAAGTCAACCAACAGGGGCAAAATGGTCCTCAAAAATTGATCAACTCATCATGGATATGAAGATCAATTTTCAATCATTGGATCAAAAGGAGATGAGAGAAACAAAATCAAGAACCAAACATGTCATGATTTAACTCAAATAAATTACTTCCAATATTTAATTCTATTTTTAATTGAAAATAAAACCAAAAAAATAAAATAAAAATTTCTAAAAATAATAGACATCAATGTCTAAAACAAATTTTTGTGGAATTTTATCAGGCTTGGAAGTATTTTAAATGGAGTTAAATCAAACCAGATACAAAATAAAAAGAAAAAAAAGAAAAAAAGAAAAAGAAAAAGAATAAACGCATGGTGTTAATAGCAAAAAATTCACGTTGAAGAATCAAAATGGGCTCAGGCAGGGGTGCAAACAACAATAGAGGCCCAGTCCAAATGAAAGTCAGCCAAATAAAATGAGAATAATCTCAGCCACATGATGACCTGACCAGTCACACAATCCAAGGGTCTACAACCTGACACACGCACAATCAACACAAAATATAAAATGCCAATTAAATAACAACCATCAGATTAAAACTAATCAAACAAAACAGACAGATAGGGTATGAACCCAATGAAACACGCCATTTCATTAAAAGGTTGGTCAAACCATCATGGCAACACGTTGCAATTACCAAATGAACATCCAAAGGCTACCGTGTTGCCACGTCACAAATGAAGACTCAGCACAAAAAATAAAACAAACGAGGACCATCATATCTGGTCCAGTCAAACGGTCAAACACGCATCCAACGGCCACGCGTTATCGTCTTCATTCAAATGTGAGAAACAGAGGGAAAACCAGGTGACCGGAACCACTCTTCCGGTCATCTTCTCCGGCAGGTCCAAAAACTCAAGTGGAGCCACACTTAACCAAATCACACAAACTGATAGTCAAAATTCATCTACGCATCATGTAGAATCCAAATATGCAATTAGTTTTCATTTTTAAACAACACACAAGCCAGATCGAAGCCAAACAGAAATGAGCTCCAAACACAAATCATCACAAATGCCAGTCTATTTTAGTTATAAATGATCTACACAGTTCCTATGTCTTAAACATGCAAAAATGGCGAGCAATTGGATTGTAAACAGAGAGATAATTTGAAATGAAGGTTACCTAGTGGAGAGCTTCCATTGAGCCTTCTACACTTGAAAAAGCTTGATGAAACTCTGCAGATCCACTCAAGGAAGCTTGAGGAAGATGAATTTGAGCTTGAATTGCTTTGAAAACACCTCAATTCTGTTTCACGATTTTCAAATTTCCTTTGCTTTCTCCAACTGTGATTTCACCAATTCTCCACGAAAATGACTCAATGAGCTCTCAAATTTCATTTGAACTTTATATATGATGGATTGGTGAAAGTTTGAAGGCCCAATTGTAGCTTAATTGTGCCCAATGTGAAAATGCCCAATCTTACTTTTCTCATGCCCATGCACACGTGAACAACACCAATTCCCCTTGTTTTTCGTTCCAAATCACTGCTGGGGACTTAATTTGATCATGTGGATGTGATTTGTCCCTTGGTTTGATCATATGGTTGAAATTGGTTTGTCAAAATTCCACTTGA